ACAGCCCAGACCTAGACCTCTTGGCACCTCGTGGCAGTGACTAGGAGAACTGAGGGAGAGACAGGTGGTCTAGGGATACAAAGACCAGGTGGAAACAGGTGGTCTAGTTGTTAGTGGAAGTACCTTGAGAAGAAGGACCCATTGTGTAAGACCATTAGCACAGACTGTAACGTTTAGGCGTCTTCAGCTCTGGCAATTTTAGAGTCCTTAATTTTGCTTCCTGTCTGGATTTTGGAACGTAGTACTGTCTGTTGTAGGCTGAGGGTCCTGGGCATATTCTCCTCTTGACACACTGAGGCAAGAGTTGCCCCTCTGTTGGGTTAATCCCAGGCAGGAGTGGGGAGGTCACATGTGGCCTCAAGGCTGCAGGTTCCCTACCCTTGAAAGAGTTGACAGCTTGGATCAAAGCTAAAAATCAGTTGTTTCTTACCAAACACAGTGGTTCATAGGTCCAGGAAACCTAGATGCCTCTGAGTTGAACAGAATGTTGAATGGCCTTAAGCAGAGAAGGATACATCTACTATCCCCAAGAACCATTTCCTTTCTAAATTTTCTGAACCCATGTTGTTCTCAAGAAGTTGGTACTAAGGAGCCAAGATGGCTGAGTGAAAGCAGTGACTCGCTTGAGCTCTCCCTTGAACCCCTCCAAATACCTGTAAAAAAATGGCTCTAAACAAATTCTAAAGCAGCAGAACCCACAAAAAGACAGACTGAAACAAATTTCCACCCCAAGACAGCCTGGATGGTTGATCGGAAAGGTAAATTGCTTGGGCAGGGAAAGGAGCGCAACTCGTCATGGGTGCACAGGCCACAGCAACCCTGGAGCAGGCCTCAGAGGGCTGAATCGCGGGCAGCTGTGGCGGTTTCCAGACTTCTCAACCCATGAACGCCAAAGACAACTTAGAAGGTCAGTGGGAAAAGTCTGTGTCTGCAATGAAAGAGAAGCTAGGTCTCAGTCGCAAGTTCCGAGCACGGCCTCTGGGGCAGCGGCTGCCTCCTGAGCTTCCGGTCCACAGACTGAGGGGGAATTGAGTGGCTGATAAAAGGGGGATTGCAGGGATCTCTTTGCCAGTGCTGAGGCAGGAATCTCTTGCTTTGCCTGTGCTTGGATCTGGCTCACAGTTCTGAGGGGTGGTCGTAGGGCGAGGAGGAGTGGTGGAGCTTGTGGCAGTGGAAAGAAAACACCTCGCCCCTTATTATAGCACCTTGGAAGATCTGACACTTTTCAGGCCCCTAGAAGTATCTCTGGAAACTGCTGTACAAACCCCCGAAGCTTGGGACAGTACATTCTCCACATTGGAAACAGACTCTTACCTTAACAAAGAGTTTAAAACTCAAGTAACTGGCCGGGATCATGAGTAAGCGCGCAAAAAGAGACAGACTATATTATCTTACTTTGGTGACAAAGAAGATCAAAACATATAACCAGAAGAAGACAACAAAGTCAAAGCTCCTACATCCAAAGCCTCCAAGAAAAATATGAATCAGTCCCAGGCCTTGGAAGAGCTCAAAAGGGATTTTGAGAAGCAAGTAAGAGAAGTAGAGGAAAAACTGGAAAGAGAAATGAGAATGATGCAAGAAAATCATGAAAAACAAGTCAACAGCTTGCTAAAGGAGACCCAAAAAAAAATACTGAAGAAAATAACACCTTAAAAAATAGCCTAACCCAAATGGCAAAAGAGGTCCAAAAAGCCAATGAGGAGAAGAATGCTATAAAAAGCAAAATTGGCCAAATGGAAAAGGAAGTCCAAAAGATTACTGAAGAAAATACTTCCTTAAAAATTAGAATAGAGCAATTGGAAGCTGGTAACTTTGTGAGAAATCAAGACACTGTAAAACAAATCCAAAAGAATGAAAAATTAGAAAACAATGTGAAATATCTCTTTGGAAAAACAACTAACCTGGAAAATAGATCCAGGAGAGAAAATTTAAAAATTATTGGACTATCTGAAAGCCATGATCAAAAAAAGAGCCTAGACATCATCTTTCAAGAAATTATCCAGGAAAACTGCCCTGATATTTTAGAACCAGAGGGCAAAATAGAAACTGAAAGAATCCACCGATCTCCTCCTGAAAGAGATCCCCAAAGGAAAACTCCTAGAAATATTGTAGCTAAATTCCAGAGTTCCCAGGTCAAGGAGAAAATATTACAAGCAGCAGAAAGAAACAATTCAAGTATTGTGGAAACACAATCAGGATAACACAAGATTTAGCAGCTTCTACATTAAGGGTATGGAATATAATATTCCAGAGGACAAAGGAGATAGGATTACAACCAAGAATCACCTACCCAGCAAAACTGAGTATAATCCTTCAGGGGAAAAAATGGTCATTCAGTGAAATAGAGGACTTTCAAGCATTCTTGATGAAAAGACCAGAGCTAAATAGAAAATTTGACTTTCCAATACAAGACTCAAGTGGAACATGAAGAGGTAAACAGGAAAGAGAAATCATAAGAGACTTATTAAGGTTGAACTGTTTACATTCCTGCATGGAAAGATGATATTTGTAACTCATGAGACCTTTGTCAGTATTAGGGTAGTTGAAGGGAAAAAATTATATGTATGTATATAGATAGATAGATAGATAGATAGAGGGCACAGGGTGAGTTGAAGATGAAGGGATCATATCTGGAGAATAAAATTAAGGGGTGAGAGAGGATTATACTAGGAGAAGGAGAAAGGGAGAGGTAGAACAGGTTAAATTATCTCACAAAAAAAACAGAAAAGAAAAAGCTCTTACAGTGGAAGGGAAATGGGGAAGGTGAGAGGGAATGAGTGAATCTTATTCTTATAGGATTTGACTTAAGGAGGGAGTAACATACACACTCAATTGGGTATGGAAATCTGTCTTACTCTACAGGAAAATAGGAGGGGAAGGGGATAAGAGAGTAGGGGGATGATAGAGAGGAGGGTAGATTGGGAAAGGGGGTAATCAGAAGCAAATACTTCTGAGGAGGGACAGGGTCAAAAGAAAGAATAGAATAAATGGGGAGGCAGGGTAGGATTAAGGGAAATAGAGTTAGTTTTTCACAGCATGTCTACTATGGAAGTGTTTTGCATAACGTACAGGTATAACCTATATTGAGTTGCTTGCCTTTTTAGTGAAGGTGGGTGGGGAGGGAGGAAGGGAGAAAATTTGGAACCCAAAGTTTTAAAAACACATGTTTAAAAAAAATGTTTTCACATGCAACTGGGAAATAAGAAATATAGGAAATGAGGTACAGAAATCTATCCCACCCTACAGGAAAGTAGAAGGGGAAGGGGATAAGAAAAAGGGTGGAGAGATAGAAGGGAAGGCAGACTAGGGGAAGGGGTATTTAGAATGCATGCCATCTTGGGGTGGGGGGAGGGAGAGATGGGGTGAAAATTTGGAACTCAAAGTCTTGTGGAAGTAAATGTTGAAAACTAAAAATAAATAAATTTATTAACAAAAAAAAACAAAAAAAAGTTGGTACTAATTGTACAGAAGAGAACAGAAGGATAGGAAGACAAGCATAACAGCTTTGGAACTAACATGTTGAATTTATTATGTTCTTTTAAAAAAATGCAAGTTCTACATAATAATATTATCCTGTACAATCCTGCTAATCTGTTTGGTTCATGTTTGTCTGTACATGAAAATGCTTTTTGTCAAGTAAAGCACAACAAAAAAATTATACACACACATATGTACATATTTAAAGGGGAAAGCTAGATGGCTTAGTGGATAGAGATCTAGGCCTGGAGTCAGGAAGACCTGAGTTCAAATGTGGCCCCAGGCACTTACTAGCTGTGTGACCCTAGGCAAGTCACTTAACCTCTGTTTGTCTTAATCCACCAGAGAAGGAAATGGCAAACCCCTCCAGTATCTTTGCCAAGAAAACCCCATGGACAGTGTTAGTGTGCTGTGGTCCACAGGATCACAGACACGACTGAACAGCGACATGTTTAAAGTACTACTCATGACTGGTAGCAGCCAAGATTTAAAATGCTAAATGGTATAACATCTTCAATAATTTCTTTTGTATCTTTTGATCCTGAGTTGGAGCGAACTACGTGGTGTGTTAGAGTGTTGGACTTTTATCCAGTCGGAAAACCTGAGTTCAAATCCATCCTCAGACACCTCCTGGCTATGTGACCCTGAGCAAGTCACTTGCCCTCTGCTTGCCTCGGTTTCCTCTGCTATAAAATGGGGATAATAGCACTTACATCCTATGGTTGTTGAGGAATCAAATGAAATAATATATATAAAGTGTTTTGCAAATGCTAAAGTACTATATAAATGTTAGTTCTTTTATGGGTGCAAAAGCAACTATTTTTATGACATATCAGTCTTTTTTCAAAAGAAAACAGTAAAATCTAAATTACGCTAGTTTCAGGGGTGGCTAGGTGGTGCAGTGGATAGAGCACCGGCCCTGAGTTCAAATCCAGCCTCAGACACTTGACACTTCCTAGCTGTGTGACCGTGGGCAAATCACTTAATCCCAATCGCCTCACCAAAACAAATTAAAATTAAAAAAAAAATAAATTAAACTAGTTTCTCTTCATTGTTTAAAAAAAAAAGTTCCTTTTACCAAAACAAGTCAATACTATATTCTCCCTATCTCTTATACTTATTTATCTGATAACCATAGATAGCTTCCCCAAATCTTGGCTTATTATGAGTCTGGGGCTTCACCAACCCTGGGGCAGCTGCAATCCAGAGAATGGATCAAAATTTGAATTTGATTCCAGAACTGAGCCAACCCTGACTAGAACCAGATTAACTGCTGAGGCACTGTTGAATTTACTGAATTCTGTTGCATGTGATCCTGTGTGAGGCTTTGGCAGAACCAAGCAGCAAGAATGAATGAAGCAAGCAGGGGCAATCTCTTGGGGTCTATGGAGGCTGATAGTTGGGTGTCAGGGTGAGAGCCAAGAGGAAGAGCCAATGCCTGCAATACAGGCGAAGAGCTAGGACGTTGACTTTGTGAAGGGTAAGTAGTGGCTCTACTGAAACATTTGCTTTTCTTTCCTTAGCAGACTTGATCAAAATGTCTGTCAGCGTCCACGAGAACCGCAAGTCCAGGACGAGCACAGACTCAATGAACATCACCCTTTTCCACAAACCTTCCCACCCAGATTGTGTCTTGTCCCACCTCAACACCCTGCGTAAACACCGTATGTTCACAGACGTCACCCTCTGGGCTGGGGAGCGCTCGTTCCCCTGCCACCGTGCCGTGTTGGCTGCCTCTAGTTGCTATTTTGAGGCCATGTTCAGCCATGGTCTACGGGAAAGTCTGGATGACGCAGTCAACTTTCATGATAGCCTCCATCCAGAAGTGCTTGAGCTGCTGCTGGACTTTGCCTATTCCTCCCGGATCATCATCAATGAGGAAAATGCTGAGTCCCTACTGGAGGCGGGGGACATGCTCCAGTTCCATGATGTGCGAGATGCCGCAGCTGAGTTCTTGGAAAAGAACCTCTTCCCCTCCAACTGCCTGGGCATGATGCTCCTCTCAGATGCCCACCAGTGCCGCCGCCTTTATGAGCTCTCCTGGCGCATGTGCCTGGTACATTTTGAGACAGTGCAGCAGAGCGAAGACTTCAAAAACCTCTCCAAGGACACCCTGTTGGACCTGATCTCCAGCGATGAGCTTGAGACAGAGGATGAACGAGTAGTCTTTGAAGCCATTATTCAGTGGGTGAAACATGACTTGGATGAGAGAAAGGTGTACCTTCCAGAGCTTCTACGCAGTGTACGGCTGGCCCTGCTGCCCTCTGAAATCCTGAAGGAGGCGATCGCCTGTGAGGACCTCATTTTGGCGGATGAGCGCAACAAGCTTATCATGGACGAGGCTCTCCACTGCAAGAAGAAGATTCTACAGAATGATGGCGTGGTTACCAGCCCCTGTGCCCGGCCCCGAAAGGCAGGCCATACCCTTCTGATCCTCGGAGGACAGACCTTCATGTGTGACAAGATCTACCAGGTGGACCACAAAGCAAAGGAAATCATCCCCAAGGCAGACCTGCCCAGCCCACGGAAGGAGTTCAGTGCCTGCGCCATTGGCTGTAAGGTCTATGTGACAGGTGGGAGGGGCTCTGAGAATGGTGTCTCCAAGGATGTCTGGGTGTATGATACTGTCCATGAAGAGTGGTCCAAGGCTGCTCCTATGCTGATTGCCCGCTTTGGTCATGGCTCAGCTGAGCTGGAAAATTGTCTCTATGTGGTAGGGGGACACACTGCAGTGGCTGGGGTTTTCCCAGCCTCCCCCTCTGTTTCCTTGAAGCAAGTAGAGAAATATGACCCTGGAGCCAACAAGTGGAAGATGGTGGCTCCTTTAAGGGATGGAGTCAGCAATGCTGCAGTGGTGAGCGCCAAGCTTAAGCTCTTTGTCTTCGGCGGAACGAGTATTCACCGGGACATGGTGTCCAAAGTCCAGTGCTATGACCCTGCAGACAACCGATGGACCATCAAAGCAGAATGTCCTCAGCCATGGCGCTATACAGCAGCCGCTGTCCTGGGCAGCCAGATCTTTATCATGGGGGGTGACACAGAATTCACGGCTGCTTCCGCCTACCGCTTTGACTGCGAGACCAACCAGTGGACGCGGATTGGGGACATGACAGCCAAACGCATGTCATGCCATGCCTTGGCTTCAGGGAACAAGCTCTATGTGGTAGGTGGGTACTTTGGTACCCAGCGGTGTAAGACATTAGATTGCTATGACCCTACCTCAGACACATGGACCTGCATCACCACAGTACCTTACTCCCTCATCCCCACAGCCTTTGTCAGCACGTGGAAGCACTTGCCTGCATGAGAAGCCCTTAGGACAGCAACTTCACCCCCAGGAACTCAGACAGGTAAGGCCTTGCCCCTTTGTGGTGCTCTGCTGTCCATGCTGGGGCAAAAAGCTCATGAACATTTCACCATCAGGGGATCCATCCTTTAAGCTAGGCTCTTATTTTCTACTGTAAATCTTGGCAAAGTCATGGGGTCACAGGATCATAGATTTAGATGTTGGAAAGACCTTAGAAAAACATCTGTCTCTCAGCTCAGACATTCTTTAGTCTACAAGTTCCTTCTCACTGATATTCTATGATCTAACAAGGTGGGGAACCTGCAGCACATGTGGCCTTCTAGATCTTCTGGAGTGGCCTTTTGACCAAGTCCATGTTTTACAGAACAAATCCTTTTAATTAAGAAGATTTGTTCGGTGAAATTTGGACTCAGTCAAAGGGCCACACTTGAGGACCTAGAGGGCCGAATGTGGCCTCAGGTTCCCCACCACTGATTAAGATCTCTCCCAGCTCTCTGTTCTATGAATGACCCCAGAAGGCTTTGGAGAGAGGTGTGGCAGGTGAAAGATGAAATGACTGAGGAAATAAAGGTTCAAGCTTCTAAATATTGATTTATTAAGCAGTGCATGGCAGCTGCCCAACAAACCAGGACCAGACCTCCTCAGCTTAAGCCTGGACCTCAGATACAGGGGGAGACAGATTTTATACATTAAAAACAATTAACCGAAGAAGACCAATTAATTAAAAGGAAACAATGCAACATTAGGTAATCCAATTTCTAATTGGATGAAAGAATAGAGACTTTCCAAGTTGGGAGGGGGAGAGTAAACAGATACCATTCCCTAAAATCAGAAAAGGAGGCATCCCACTCCTCACAAAGGTCAATAAAGGAACATGGAAACAATAACTAATTGATCAGTATGGGGCCAGTTTTCAGATAGAACATATGGGTTGCATGAGATGTACAGTTGTGAGAAAATTCCTCGCATCAATGTTTGGTTCTGACCAGGTTTCCGGTCAGCATAACCTAGGTCCTTGGTTAAGAGTTTCTAAGCAGGTAGTCCAGCTTCCCAGCCACGCAGAGAAACAATGAAATAAGGTTTTTTCCCAATTCCCACAACTGAATAAAGTTTTCTCATAATGCAGAAATTGGATTAGACCCATAATTGAATAGAAAGAGAACTGAGCCAGCTCCAGAATTAAGTCATAAAATGGAGTCAGTGTGGTTCACTCATTTCCCACAATTAACTCTCTGCTGTCCTAATCCATCTCCTCAATTCTCTCAGAGGACATCAACCAACTAAATTCAATTAAACAAGTATTTATAAGCACCTGCCCCCCCCCCAAAAAAGAAAGCAAATATTTAGTACCAACTGTCTTATTATATAGATGAGAAAATTGAGGCTTAGAGAGGTATATTCTTATACCTATTCTATGTATAGCCTGAATTACCATTTAGACACATTACCTGCCCATGGTCACATAGCTGACAAGTTGGCAGAGGCATGCTTTGAATTCAGGTCTTCCCGATTTCAAGCTGAGCACTATGCTGTCCCTCTGTCAGCATTAGGGACAAACAAAGTAAACCTAGGCTTTGGGGAGTGGACCGAGGACTTCACACCAAGCTGCTGAGCTGAATGCTCTAAAGTTTATTTTATATCTGAGCATGCCTGCCCTTATGATAAGTCCAGCATTCCCCTTGCTAGACTGTATTATGCCTGTGAACAAAACAGACAGTGGAGAGGAGGGGCAGCAAGACACACTTATTTTTTTTTACTACCCCTTATTTTTAGTGCCCCAAATTTTTCTGTTTATCACAAAGATATTTGCTTTGTAATAATCAAAGTTCTATGTCTTTCAGTGAAGCTTCAGAGCCTCTGATGGACGGTGACACAGAAAAGATGTGACTTGCAAATACACGGACTCACTGTTTTCAAATGTTGCTTAGTGTACACATGACAGAGTCTCAGCTTTGTCTAATACTGATCTCCATGTTCTCCCACAGTGGCATGGCTTAGTCATCTTCTTCTAGAAGCTCTCCAGTTCTCAAAGCCAACCCTCTGAAAATGTCTTCCTTTGAAGTGAACATGCATTTTCCAGGTGTAGCCCGACCAGCATAGGGAGAGGACTGGGACTTCTCGTTTTTGACTCTTACATTTCTAGGATCACATTCATTTTTATTTTTTGCAGTTGTACTGTACTTCTGACTTGTGAACCTACTTTCTACTAAAATACTCACATCTTTGATACATGACCTGCTTTTTAGATGTTTTACCTTTATCCCACACTTGTGCTGATTTAGTAAACCTAAATGTAGGAATTTACATTTATTCCCTGCTAAGTTTAATAGTTAAATTGGTCCAGTCATTATCATCCTTTTTGAAATCTTTTTCTATCCTGACTCTCTATCATCCAACAAATTAGCTATTCATCCTAACTTCATGTCTTCTGCAGATATGATAATCATGTCATCTATCTTTATCCAGCTAGGTAGTGCAATGGATAGAGTGCTGGGCTTGGAGCTAGGAAGATCAGAGTTCAAATCCAGCCTCAGACTTTTACTTAGCTGTGTACTTTGGGCAAGTCACTTACCTCTGTCGGTCTCAGTTTTCTTAACTATAAAATGGGGATAATAATAGCACCTACCTCACAGGCTTGTTGTGGAGGATCAAATGACATACTATTTCTAAAGATCCTAGAACAGTGCCGAGTACATAGTCGGTGCTATATAAATTCTGGTTATTATTGTTGTTATCCAAAACTTTAAAGATCAGGGTGAAGGACAGAGGAGAGAAGAGGTCACATCATGTAGTGGGAAGGGCACTGGATTTGATGGCAGGAGAGCTGGTTGGGAATCCTGACCCTCATGTATAGGCAGGCCACTTAAACTCTTCAGACTTCGCTCTTCCTCATTTATAAAACTAGGGGGTAGGGGTGGGACTAGATGACCTTTTAAGGTCCTTCCAGCTTTTAATCTATGATCCTTCTATTCCTGGGGGCATTTCACCAGATCATTTTCTTTCAGGCTGACATCTATCTATCAATAGGTACTGCCGTTCAGCCAATTCTGAATACATTTCACTGAATTTTCACCTAGCCCACAATCCCCCATCTCTACGTCAGGATACTGAGACTTTGTTAAATGCCCTAAGGCACGGTAAAAATACATATATAGCAATGTTGTTTGAAAATTAAAAATCTGGTCAGACAGTTAATCTCTCATGCAATTAATCTAGTGAATCTGTGCTAGCCTCTAGTAATTGATTCTTCCCTTCTGAGCAGTTGAAATCATCTGGTTATAACAGGGGTTCTTAAACATTATTTGTATTATGATCCACTTGGTCTGTCTAGTGGAGGCTATGGACCCCTTCTCAGAATGTTTTTAAAAACATAAAAACAAAATAGGATTCAAAAGGAAACCAATTATATTAAAATACAGTTATCAGATTATTTGGGAAAGAAATCTGAGTTTATAACTCTGGGTTAAGGACCTCTGCTTTATGATAACCCATTCTAGAATTCCTCTGGAGTTGGGATTGATGCTTCCTGGTAGACAGTTTCTAGAATACACCTTCCTCCTTCTGGATATTGGCCCATTTGCCTCACACTTTGCTAGCATACTTTCTACGATTCTTCAGCTACTAGTCCTGGAAGTCTGCTACTCAACATTTGCAAGTTCTTTCAGTAATCTTGACCATAATCCATCTGAATCAGAAGACTTGAATTTATTCAGACAAGCTGGGTTGTTTCGTTTGTTTGTTTTTTAATCTCTTCAGTTCTCTTGAGCTCCTTGAGAAAACAAGTTCGTAGGCTCCTGGGCCTAGAAAGGAACCTTAGGCACCAGTGAGTCCCAACCCCCTCATTTTACAGAAGATCGTATCATCTCTTTAGATGCTTCTCAATCCAATTAAACAAGTACTTGTTAAGAACCTACTATGTGCTAGACCATGGAAATATGAAAACAAAATGTCTTTATGGAGCTTGTGTTCATTTAGTGGAAATGAACTTGGGAGTGTAGATAAATGTAATATTTATCAAATTACATTGATAGTTCAAATTCACCTGTTGTTCATAATCTACATTGGTATATAAGCATGTGACACCATAAAAATTATTCCCTATGCTCTTCTGAATGATGTTCTCATTTGAATTGCTGGGCACCTTTTCCACTGTTACTCATTCTCTGTCTCCATAGCCCCTGGATTTTCAGTTTTACCTAAGACATTCTTCCTTTCCCCTCCAGTTCAATTATTAATTCTTTTAGTCAGATCAGCAAGAGTCTAGACTGATAGCTTCTTCCCAGTTCCTATGAAATGTATTCTCCCCCTCCCCAGGAGTCTTTTTGGTCTCAGTAGGAATCCCTTGTGGTAAGCAATGCATAAATTCTTATCCCCATTTCACAGAGGAAGAAAACTGAGTCATCAAGAGATGATGTAAGTAGCAAAGATTAGCAGTCTTTCTTTCAACATACTGTGATGCCTCTCTGTTGTTGCTATTGTCACACATATTATTATCTAAAAACTTAACTAGGGCAATCCTATAATTAGGTTTAAATGAGTGGCATGGGCAGTAGATGCTTTAGAAGTACAGAGAAGGGAAAGAACGCTGTGGGTTGAGGCAGTGAGGGAGGTCATCATGGGGGAAGGGAGACTCAAGCCAGCCCTCCGGACCAGATTAGTAGTCATGTAAAGAAGAGAGGGAACAGTTCTTGGTCAGCTGTGATGTGAACAAATGTATATAGATGGGAATACAGAAGCCTTGCTTGAGAGACAAGCGTGGACCCATTGAGATGATGTTCCTGGTTCATGTAGGGGAATAGATGGAGATGACATTAGAAAGATGGACTTAGAAAAAGCTGATTCTAAATTCTGTGGCTGGGGATGATCAAATTTTGTGCCTTTGATTTCCTGAATTGCTTTGGGAAATTCAGGAGAATAAAAGGTAATAAACAAACAAAATCCCTCCAAATCTGATGCTTAGACTTGGGGAATAGAGCTGAGGACTTTGTGCCAAGATGTTAAATAGATTACCAGGATCTGAAGCCTATTTTACGTTTCAGATGT